CTTATTCAATATCATCTACACCACCTATCAAGACTTACCAACGTATTTACCCCTAAACCATTCCATGAAAACTTGTTTCTCAACATTCTTTTCTCAATGCAAGTTTTCAAATCAACTTTCAAAGTTTAATGTAATCAAATGAATTGATATGCCAATTTCACAAGATGAATATAAATACTTTTATTCGAATTCATCATCCAAGGAATAACACAATTCCCTCTTCTCAGTTATTTCAAGACTATTTCAACGTTTTGAACAATAATTTCCAAAATGAACAACAATTCGCATATTCCCTGAAATTCATCATTTATATAAATATAAAGAAGAAATTTTCCAAACATCCATTTATTTTGACACACAATAAATATAACAATATCATTCATGGATATTTAGTCTCCTTTAAAAAAAATTCCCAAATTCTAGGTTTTCTCACCAAAACTATACAACTCAAATCTTTTGAAAGAAAACTTTCCAAAATCATCTTTTCTTCAATCAATGAGGATCAAAACCCATAAGATCATTTTAAAAAAACAAGAGAAAAACCCACTTTCAAAATCGCTCAACTTATTGAATCAACAATCAACTTTCAAAGCTATCGAAAGATGATTCAAAAATCATATAGATCTTGCAAATATATATATATATATATATAACTCTAAGAAAATCCCTACCTCAAGTTTTGAAAAAGAAATGAGATGAAACCCCCAAAATCAACGGTGTCGAAACTCGATCTTCACTGCACACAACGAAACCCTCGAGAAGTTAACCAACTTTGATGAAGAACTTATGGCAAAACTCTAATGGATCTTGAGAAATCAAGGTTTTGATCCAATTTGGCGTAGGGAAATGTAAAGAGAAGGGAGAGGAAAGGGTTTTTAAAAAGAGAGAGACATATACAAAAGTGATCTGAAATATTAGATTCACAAACTGATATAACATAGTCCGCTCGAGCGTGGAAAGCCTCGCTTGAGCGTCAAATACACTTTCCCAGTACTTTTGTAGACATGTCAAACTTCTAGAACCAAACATTTTCCGCTCGAGCGCATAAACGGCCACTTGAGTGGACAAACAACTTCTAATGCATTTTGCATTTTTGCTTCGGGGGTGCTGCCCATCAACCCCGCCAGGGCGCTGCCCTAGGACCCGCCGAGCTGACCAGGTAGCTAGATCCCCGCCAGGGCGCTGCTCTTGGACCCACCGAGGGGCGCTGCCCCCTAGACCCCCGCGAGCTGACCGGGCAACTTGATCCTCGACATACTCAGCGAAATGGCAAAACTGGGATCGCTACAATATAAATGAAAATTGTTGGAAATTTATAGTTTTATAGGCTTATTTTGGGCCATCTTTGAGCTCAAAATAACACTTTTGGGCATATTTTTTGTTCAACACTTTTGTCAACTAATGAGTAATTTGTCATAATCTTCACAGCCAATTACAGGTATATAAATTTGCTTTGATTTGTATGAAAATTATTTAAATATACATTTATTTATTCTCATTATATATAACTTGTTTATTGTCATTGTATTTTCTAGACCCTTTGACTTCTTCACAGCCCACCTCAGGTATAAGAATTTGATTTGTATTAACATTTTTTAAATTTGCATTTGTTTATTATCAGTGTATATTGTTTATTCTTATTGTATATCACAGGTCATGTTAGTTCTTCATCAACCTCGATTAGGTGTGGTAGAGGATGTGCCAAGGGCATTAAGGAGTAAGGTACTGGTACAAAGTTGGACATAGAATTTAACAAAAATCACTGCCCAATGGGGGATAATGTGTCAAAGTTAACTACTCAACTTGGCATTATTGTGCGCAATGGTAACATTGTTCCTCTTACTTTTCTTGTAACGCTCTCAGAATATGACATAAATCAACCATTCATAATATCTACAAATATGATAGAAATGTTATATTTTCATTCATTAGAGTCTACATTACAAAAGATACTACATGCATTACACTTTCATAAATGTTCATCTTGAAACTATAGCATGTAACTCTAATTGTTAACAACAAAATAAATGCCCTAGGGGCTTACATCTTTCCAAGACTTCGTTTGGTTACAACAAAAGAAGAGTCCAAGTCTCTATACAAACAAAGCCCTCGGCTTGAATAAACATTTAACACAAACAAAACAATAAAATGGAGCCTTCAACTCCTAAACCTCCCAAGCTATGTCCTTGGAGGCGGCATGTCACTTGTACCTAAAAATGGTTTCCCAAGTAGGGTGAGCCAAAGCCCAGTAGAGATATGCTAAAACAATATATGAGATTTAACTAAGATATGAGCATTAGATAAATGTGCAATATTCTTAACCAACACATATTCTTTCCAAGACCATTCAATATAGATAACCAATACCTCAATTCATTTAATCTATTAACCAAATTCATTATTATCAAAACAACCAAAATAAGACTATAACTCAATGGTTCACAATCCAATACATTTATCAATCCAACACTTCTATTTCTTGCCATTTTACGGAATCACATCCGAGGGAACCGGCACCCATATATATATAAGACTTCGGGACTTTCACCCTGGACACTTCGGCTAACTTAATTTTCAATGGAGTCCATCCCCTATGTCCTCCCAAACAATGATACATATACAACGTATTTAAACACGTTGTCATATACAATGACTAATCAAATAACATATTCAATGATTTAATCAAACCGTCATATTCAATGACATAATTCAATTGATTAGTTTCGAGTCACCTAATCCACATGCAGTTTCTACAACAGTCATAGTTATCCTCCACCAATAGCCCAAAACAGATATTTCTAAATAGATATACAATCTATCAAACAGATAATTTATCAAATTTCCATAGGTGAGTGATTTAACAAATCCAACTACACCATTCAATCAGACACCCTTCTAATTTCATATTTCCCATGTCAATTTCATTATTTATTCAAAATAGTCATTTAACACAAATTAGGGCAAAACCTTCCCATTTTCCCAATATCATCCCCAAGACCCAGTCTCACCATTTATTTTCTTATAATACCATAATCAAGCCCTCATCTACATATATGAAGCCAAATATTGGAAACCCCTATTTCAAAATTTAAACCCAAACCCTAACTTTACCCAAATCTTTCCAAATCCCACCATTTATACAAAATGACAAATATCTAGGTTAAAACTCATATTAAAGAGTAGAATATCCCTACCTCAAGCTTAGAAGGGAAGGTGAGCCAAACAAGGTTGAAACTCCAAAGATGACGAAACCAACTTCTACTTGGATCAAAGCGAAGCTCTTGGCAAGCTCTACACTTAATCTCAAAGGAGCAAGTCGAGGAGATGCTTCCAAGAGAGTAGATCTAAAGATCTTTGAGCAAAAAGTGATTTTGGAGAGGATGAAAGAGTCTCACGGCTTAGAGAAAGAAAAAGAGAAGAAAAAGTAAAGAAAAGGTTAAGTGAGAGGCCTATTTATAGTACTAGGTCAAAGTGAAATAAAGTCCCAAAGCCAACCCAAAAGATCAAGGAAAATCACTACAAGAAAAAGCAGAATTGGCGGCTAAAAAATCCCCTTTCATCGTTGAAAGTAGCATTTTCGGTGACTAAAATGGAATTAGTAGCCAAAAGTGAAGACTTTTGCTGACTAAAACAATTTAGTAACCAAATGTATACGTATTGGCGACTAAAAATCAGTTTGGTCGCCGATTATATGGGTTTTAGCGACTAAAAAAATTTTAGTAGCCAAAAGTGAAGGTTTTTGGTGACTAAAAACATTTAGTAGCCAAAGGTATAGGTTTTGGCGACTGAAAAATAGTTTGGTCGCTGATTATACGTGTTTTACCGACAAAAATAAATTTTGTAGCCAAAAGTGAAGCTTTTTGGCTACTAAAAAACATTTAGTAGCTAAAAGTCTACAATTGGCGACTAAAATTCAATTTAGTCGCCAAAAGTGGAGGTTTTTGGCGACTAAAAATAGGTTTAGTCGCCAAAAGTGGTTATTTTTAGGCGGGAATTAATTTTTTTAGCGACTAAAAAATAATTAGTAGCCAAAAGTATAGAATTGGTGACTAAAAAACAGATTTAGTCGCCAAAAGTGGTCTCCTTTTTTTTTTAGTAAATAATTTATTTTTTAGATAAATTATATTAAATAAAAATAATTATGTTTATATATATAGTTTTATATTAATACGGGTCAATATACTATATAAATAATATATGTTGCATATATAATCATGTGGTGTTGTAGAGGCATAGTGGAGATAGTGTGCTGCTTAAGGTTTAGAATGTGGGAGATTGGTGGTTCGAATCTCAACGAAAGAAAAGTTAGTTTTTTTTTTTTTTCACGGAACGACTTTTGCCGACTAAAATTATTGGTCACCAAAAGTGTTGCTTTTGGTGACTAAAAGGTTTGGTCGGCGATTCCTTGACTATTGGCGACTAAAAGATTAGTCGGTAAATGCATAATTTTAAAAAGTGTAATTGACTATTGGCGACCAAAATTTTGGTCGCTAGAGACCTGTTTTTTGCCGACTAAAACTTTTTTAGTCGCCAATACCTTCCCCGACCGCGTTTTCACGACAAAACTGGCAACTAAAAATTTAGTCGGGGAAACTAAAAAGTCGACTTTTCGCGACTAAAAATGAACTTTGACGACTAAAAATTTAGTTTCCAAAGGTGCTTTTTCTTGTAGTGAATCCCAAAAAAGTAGGACCAAAAATTGGACAGAAATCTAGAAAAATTCTACAAGGGTCGACCCTTGCAACACAGGGGTTGACCCTATGAAGAAACTTATGTTTGATAGCATGCAAGGGGGTTGACCCTTAGACAGAAGGGGATCGACCTTATTTTCCAGCAACTAACACACAGATTCTGTAACATAAGAGGGTCGACCCTCCCTAGGCTGGTGTCTACCCTCTTTTTTGGCAACATTTCCAAAAACTTCACCAACAAGTAAGGGTTGACCCTTAGGAACGCTGGTGTCGACCCTAGAATAGAATTTCTAAGTCTCCATGGAACTTTTGACAAGAACAAGTGTGAACAACCAAACCTAACAAGTTTAAATCGGATTATACTCCTCCAAAACCAACCCATAACAACACCAAAGATTTCCAAAATAAAAATAAAGGATTCGAATACACTTCCCCATAAGCTTTGAAGGATACATGTGCTACATTTCTTGACTGGATCACTGTGCCTGATGATATTATTGATGCTATTTGGAAGGATGTAAAGGTAAAAGTATATTTTTGTCCAAAAATTCAAAATTCAAATTTCAAACCTTCAAATTGTGTTTTGTAGGAGAATTTGAATGTATGTCTAGAGGAGTATAAGCCAATTTGCATGAAAACCTGCAACAGCATATGGAAGGATCACAAGAATAAGATTGAGACCAAGTATTTCAAGGCTAGAAGTTCTGATCCCAATCTGAAGGATGATGTTCCTTTGCACATTGTGTCAAGCCAGTGGAAAGAACTTGTGAAGTATTGGCATACTTCCGATGTTGAGGTATACAAATAAGTTATATATATTGCATGTAAACATACAAATCATATTTATGAACTGCCATTTGTTAAATCTATTACAAAAAATTTCAACTAGAAACACTAAAAATCGGCGAGTTCACAGTATACTTCATACCACAGGGCGTACTACTTTTTCTCAGATCCGGCATGAGGTTTATATTTTATTGTTTTTATTTTTTTTTAGATATTTGAAAATTATTTGGATTCTAATTTTCATATTTCTAAAAAAAATCTAGATGACTAGCAAGAGGGAGTCTACTGATAAGATGAATGTTTGGCTTATGACACGTAGAGCAAATGACCCTGAGGTTATCCAGAGCTTGGTAGTTTCCAAACACCTAACGTTGAATTTAAATTTTATTTTTTATTTTTTATTTTTTGTGTCAACCATCTTTATTTGACATATATTTGTATGTCTTATTCAATACAGGATGAGTTTAATCGTCAACTTTTCATGCTACCTAAGGATTGCCGGACTTTAGAGGCTAGGAATGCCATTTTCCATGAGTCGATAGGTCATGGCGGACATGGATATTGTCGCACTTATGGGAGAACTGTGCCCCAGAGCGCGATGTATAAAGATGGTGCTAGGTCATCATAGTCAACACCCCAGCCATCGATTATTGTTCAAATCACCCAGCAGGTTTGTGTGGAGCTAAAGGATGAGTTGAGGGAGGAGCTGAGGAAGGAGATGTGAGTAGAGTTTTCTATACATTTACAACAGATGAGAGTTGAGATGATGGCCTTTGTGTCACAGGGGGCGAGTCTGGATCCCAACAAACAGGTTCGATATAAATTAAATTGTTTGATAGTTAAATTTTCACATAACATATATATACATATATATATATATATATAATAAAATTCGAATATGATTAGCACATTATGTATGGCTGTCATAGGCTCCTGATGTATCGAGTGGCCATCAGGTATTTAGAGAATCTGCAGGAGATGAGACTCCATATACACCACCACTAGAAGATCAGGTATAGAATGTATCTTTGCATTCTAAGCCAAGAATAACCATACATTAACTGTACACAGTCCAAAATCATAGAGGCTAATTCCATAATTAGAGAGAAAGACAAAGAATTTTCCACACGAAACTTTGCACACACAACCGCCTAGGCACGAGAGACTTGTGGGAGAAGACGGGACTCAAATCGGGTTACCGGTTTGGGAGTTAGGGTCGGATTTTACTCTAGGCAAACTCGTTTCTTAAGAAACTTAGAATTCGAGGTGTTAACGTCCCAAAATCACCAAACGGCGTCAGAGTAGCACGGAACTTGGCATACACGACCGCCTAGACACGAGATACTTCTGGGAGAAGACGAGACTCGAATCAGATTCCTAGTATGGGAGTTAGAGCCGGATTTCACTCTTATGAAACAAACTAGTTTCTTAATAAACATAGAATTAGAGGTGTTAATGCCCCAAAATCTCCAAATGGCGACGGAGTAGCACGAAACTTGGCACACACGACCACCTAGGCACGAAATACTTGTGGGAAAAGACGGGACTCGAATCGGATTCCCGGTATGGGAGTTAGAGCCGGATTTCACTCTTAAGAAACAAACTAGTTTCTTAAGAAACTTGGAATTTGAGGTGTTAATGCCCCAAAATCACCAAATGGCGTCAAAGTAGCACGAAACTTGGCATACACGACCGCCTAGGCACGAGAGACTTGTGGGAGAAGACGGGACTCGAATCGGATTCCTGATATGGGAGTTAGAGCTGGATTTCACTCTTAAGAAACAAACTAATTTCTTAAGAAACTTAGGGTGCGCTTGGTTTGTGTTTGTAGAGTAGTTTTGAGATAACAAGTACAAAAGCTTGTTTGGTTTGCCTTTTTTAAGAAATAGTTTTGGAAAATTGTTTTGGGAGAGAGAGTTTTAAAAAAAGTAATTGATTTGATGTGTATGAGAGAGAGTGTGATTTTGAAAAGTAAGTAACCAAACAAAATTTTGAGATTTTTTTTGGAAAAAATTGTTTGGTTTAATTACTCTTGAAAATTTGTTTGTAGAGAATTTTTCCCAAAAATTTTTCTGAAAAACAAGCCAAACAAGCCCTTAGAATTTGAGATGTTAATGCCCCAAAATCACCAAACAGTGTCGAAGTAGCACGAAACTTGGCACACACGAATGCCTAGGCACGAGAGACTTGTGGGAGAAGACGGGACTTGAATCGGGTTCCCGTTTGGGAGTTAGAGCTGGATTTCACTCTAGGCAAACTAGTTTCTTAAGAAACTTAGAATTCAATGTATTAACGGCCCAAAATCACCAAACAGCATCAGAGTAGCACGAAACTTGGCACACAGGACCGGCTAGGAACGAGAGACTTGTGGGAGAAGATGGGACTCAAATCAGGTTCCTGGTTTGAGAGTTAGAGGCAAATTTCACTCTTAAGAAACAAACTAGTTTATTAAGAAACTTAGAATTTGAGGTTTTGATGCCCCAAAATCGCCAAACGGCATTGGAATAGCACGAAACTTGGCACACACAACCGCCTAGGCACTAGAGAGTACTTGTGGGAGAAAACGGGACTCGAATCGGGTTCCCAGTTTGGGAGTTAGAGCCGGATTTCGGCCTAGGCAAAATTATTTACTTAATTATCCTTGTAATTGTATAGTAGTTACATTTTTATGTTTTTTTGTGTTTAACATATTAACACATAATTATATTGTCATTAATTATATTTATTTTTTGTTTTCAGATATTTCCCGAGTGGGAGTTTTGCTTCTTGTGGAATGCATGTCTGTGAAGAATGCAACTAATTTTTGTTTTTGTTACCCACGGAGAATGATGAGCAAAACTTGTAATTTTGGTTTATGTTATTTTGAATTATGAACAATATTATGTATTTAAACATTATATATGTATTATGGAACATTATGTAGTGGGGTAATTTTGTTGATGCGTAGTTAGGAATACAAGAATATTTTTATTATGGAGAAATTATTTTTTCTATACAGAAATTTTTATATTATTATGCAATTATTGATTTCTTTTTCAATTGTTTTTCATTTAATATAGGTAATTTTAATGTTTTTAATAATTTTATTGTAGTTTTTTTTTTTGGCGATGGTACCACACCGTCGCAAAAAACAATAATTTTAACAATTATATTGCAGTTTTTTCTTTTTTTTTTTTAGCGACGGCAAAAAATATTATGACCATTGGCGATAGTGGGCACGCCATCGCAAAAAAACAGAACCATTCGCGATAGCATTTTTTGCCGTCTCAAATAACACTTTTAGCGACGGTAAAATGGTGCCGTCGCAAAAAGTTTGACTTTTTTACATATTATAGTCGATAGTAAATTGTCGTCGCAAAAGGTACCAATTGTCGTCGCTAAAAAAAAGCGGCGGCATGATGCCGTTGCTAAAAGTCTTTTGCAACGCCCTCTATTGTGACCCCTCATTTGCCTTCGCTAAAAGTCATTTGCCGTCGCTAAAACTTTTTTGAGACGGCATGAAGAGTATTTGCGACGGCACTGTGCCGTCGCAAAAAATAGAAATTTTTGTAGTGATGTTGCATAATATATATATATATATATATACTAGGTAGGGAGGCCCTGCAAGGCATGGGCTAGTTGCACATTTATTTATTTATTTTTATTGAACTTTGATTTTTTAATTTTATAGTAATGTTTGTTTGATAGAAGAAAAATATAGTGGAATGGAATAGACCTTATATATTTATATAACATCATTTTATTTTACCTATAATACTTTTTTATGAACTTTTATGTTAATTAGAATGATATGAAATAGAATGATTATATACCTTTATTACGACTTTAGTTATGAGTCTGAATTTTTTAAGATAATTTTGGATTTTTTTTAGCTGATTGTTATTTAATTCTACAAAAATTAAAAATACAATAATCAAAAGTTAAAGAGTATAACAACCATACAAATAATATCTCTAACATCACTTCAAAAAAAAAAAAAAACAAATAAAACAAAACAAAACAAAATAAAAGAGGGTAAATTATAAATACACTCTTGAGATTTGCTTAAAATACGGATTGCCTCTTCTGATTTGCAAAATTACAAATACCCCTTGTTAGAATATTTTATTTTATTTAACAGAATTAATTAAGAAAATAAATTTTCTAACTACTCTCATATACAATTATAAAATTACTTAAATTATTAATTAAAATAAATTTATGACATTACAAAAAACTGTTAATTGATTTGATGATTTATTAATAAAATGAATTATTTGTTATGAAATTTGAAATGTAAAGGGACGTGATGTAATTTTTAAAACCACAAGGGACAATGCGTATTTGAAGCAAACCTCAAGGGGTACGTTTGCAATTTATTTGCTTCAATTTTTCCCCCCCCCCCTCCCCCCCAAAAAAAAAAAAAAAAATCTCAACTTTAGGACTATTAGGCTTATTACAATTATCCCAAATTTCTTACATAATTTCTAAAAGCCCTCCATCCAAACTAATTCACCAACCAAGCTAAAGGGCAAAATAGAAAATTTAAAAATAAACTTAAGGGAAAAATGGGAAACAAAATACAAACCACCAACAACAAAGATATTTTTATGTAGATAGATATATAAGTGGTCTCTTTTCTTTCCCAAAACCATAGGGCACCAACTATAAAATCGTTTGCTCATGGATGACTTGTAGCACTTGGCCAAACAACAAGTTGAATGGGATCATATCCTAAATGTGTAATGTTGCTATCAAATGGACAAGTTTTGATGGGTCAATGGACCCTACTTGAGAATGCCATGTTGTTCTATGCTTGACGGGTTCAACTCAACAAGTGGTCTCTTCTCTTTCCCAAAACCATAGGGCACCGACTATAAAATCGTTTCCTCATGAATTACTTGTAGCACTTGGCCAAATAACAAATTGAATGGGATCATACCCTAAATGTGTAATGCTGCTATCAAATGGACAAGTTTTGATAGGTCAGTGGACCCTACTTGAGAATGTCATTTTGTTCTATGCTTGACGGGTTCAACTCAACAAGTGGTCTCTTTTCTTTCCCAAAACCATAGGGCACCAACTATAAAATTGTTTGCTCATAATGACTTGTAACACTTGGCCAAATAACAAATTGAATGGGATCATAGCCCTAAATGTGTAATTCTGCTATCAAATGGACAAGTTTTGATGGGTTAGTGGACCCTATTTGAGAATGCCATTTTGTTCTATGCTTGACGTGTTCAACTCAACTTTGTTGAAAATTACCCCTTTTGGGATGTCGACACACTTGGGCACAAACTTCTTTTTTATCACAAAAAAAGTCCATAGTTTTGCAAATTTTGTTATATATATATATATATATATATTCTTTCCATACGTCTATTCATAAATTTAGAAAATCTAGATAAGGTAAGAGTTTGATTTTTAGCCCATGGTAAGATTACAATAGAGATTTTATCACTTATGACAGTTGGTGCCTCCCTCTATTGACACTTTATTCTATTGACACTTTTCGAACTCTATTATGACATTTTATTTTTTTGCAAAACATGGCATGTTAACTTTAGTTGAAATCACAATCTCATAATGTTCTAATTCCATGACATTTTAACTTTGGTTGAAATCATAATCTCATGATTGTGTTGTTACAACTTGAATTTAATTTCATTGAACACTCAAATTATATATATTAGCGAGTGGTACACGTAATGTGTGTGGAATTCAGATAAGTAAGCATAAAAACAAATAATAAAGAAATTAACATCATAATATGTATGTTGTCTAAATGGTAAGAGCATTTTTAATAAAATAAAACTCAAGGTCTTGGGTTCAAATCTTACATACGATTTTGAATAATATTTTTTTATTTTAGGATAGAAAAATTTGTCACATGGTAGAAGGGGAAGCCACTACACTCTTGGACACCAAGTTAGTGCTTACATAGATAATAGTATAGATATAAACACATACATATCTACATATGCACATATAAATATCTATTATATATATGAATCATGTTATAATACATATTCTCAAAATAGTGTACTATATGTAACTTATGACATTTGTGGTGTTCGTAACTAAATCTTTTTCAGTCATAATTAAAAACAAAAGTCATAATTAAATACCACATAAAGTATAATTAAAGACTGATCATAACCAAAATAATAATTAAAATAGATGATAACTAACATTACAATGAGTCCAAACTAACATCATAATGAGTCATAACCAAACCATAATTAGAACCACAATAAGTCATAATCAAATATCACAAATGTCATAATTGGGTGTGATTCTATATATGTGTGTGTGTGTGTGTGTGTGTGTTAACATTTAAATCTAAGTGACTACATATATATTCTGCTTTTCTTTTTCTTTTTCTTGTTCTTTTATATGTTTTTCTACATTGTCTCTCTTTATAAAAACTCTTTCTAGGTAGGGTTATTGATAACCACCAATGCATAATCCAATCGCATTGCCAAATAAATTCTCCAAACCTCATATTTTCAAATCACTATAAAATGAGTTTTTTATATTTTATTTCAATAGTTAATAACTTTAAGAATAATTGATTTTAAATGTTTACAAATTATTTTTGACAATAAAAAATATTCACAATTATTAAATGAGTATAAAAATAAAAATTGTAGTGTAAACAAAAATTATTTTGGAAGTATTTTTTTAAACAACACTTTACAGCTAATTGAATAATATTATTTATAATTAAGTACTAAATGAAATGATTATAAAAATAAAATTTGTGCCATAAAAGAAATTTATTTTGGAGGCATTTTTTTAGACAACACAAAAATTATTTTTGAACTACTGATTTTATTTATTTTTTAAAAACATTTTTTAGACAACACATTAATAAAATAAAAAAAATATTAAATAAAATGATTATAAAAATAAATGCAACCACAGTTTATATATATATATTATATGCTAATGTAATGAAATAAAAATTTTAAAAAATTATAAAGAAAAAAAATTCATATAAGATTTTTTCTTTAGATTTAGATCACTTGAGTATTTGCTTCTTTTTTCTTTTTAATTTTTTTGTAAGCTTTTATTTATTATTTTTTGGGAAATAAAACTATTCAGAATATTGTAAAAGGGAGGTACCTGTAATTATGCTAAACCTCAGGAGATGTAAGTGTAATTTACCATAGGAAAGAATGAATGAGAGTCAGTTGTGACAGTTGTGTCTTTTCACAATGTGGTTGAAGGATATTATGGTCAATTCTACGGTCAAGTTAACGTCGTTAAGACTCTTTTAACATGAAGGAAGAATCTGACTATTATTTTCAAAAGCAACGGAGGTATGTGTAATTTTTTAAACCACATGGAAGGTGTCTGTAATTAAGGCAAACCTCAGGGGAGACAAGTGTAATTTACCCAAAAAAATAAAAATAACCGAATTTATAAAGTTAAATTTTTTTTTTTAATCTATTTCTAAAATTTTAGTCTATTAATTATTTAATTTATTTTTATTTCATAAATTGTTTTGATATTTTCTTTTGTAGGAACCCCATCTACTATGAACTTTTGAGGAGGAGTTATGGTTAACTTGTTTCGTAGAAAAACTATAACTTAATTTAAAATCTTAAAATGAAATACACATTGACACTTTTATCAACTCATGGGAAAATATGTCAGTAAAAGTCAAAACTACCCTAACCATAGAGTTAGCCCAAATCATGAATGATGAAAATGTTAGTAGGAAATTTTCAGCAATAAACCAAATTCCCTATTCAGCGGGTAAGTAGGAAAACAAATTGAATGAATGGCCCCAAGAATTATTGCTTAAAATAAATAAAAAATAAATAAAGCCTATTAAATTCATATATCGACATGTCGGGTGTAATTACTTATATTTTTAAATTTTAAAAGTCTATGTGTTTGGTGCATTTTTTCTTATAATTTATTAGATTAAAATAATTTAAATAAACTATAAAAAAAGATTATTTGAAAATTGTAGTAGTGTTTTTAACATATATTTTCTATAAATCAGTTTTCAACTTGTAAAACTTGCACCAAACATCATCTTAAATGGTATTTGTTAAAACCGAAAATTGAAAGCTGACAATTAAATAGTAAAAACTGAATGCCAAATTTTTTAAGTTAAAATATATTTTGATAAAAAGTTAAGTACTAAATTAAAACAAGCATTCGCCCAAAAAAAAGAATTAAAACAAGTTGTTTGATATATTCATAATGTGATAAAATTTAAAATTATTATTTTTAAATTTTCTCATTTTATTTTTATATTGTTGTGGTGAGGTAGTAAGGGTGGTTGCTATGGCACCAACGGCGATGGTAGTGCTGTGAAAGTGGCTGTGGTGATGGTAAAAAGGTGGGGTATTGATTTCCGACTACACAACTAAAAAGAGAACTTAATTGGAGAGTGCTGACAAAATAGAATAAGCCAACTACCTGTCGACAAGAAGAAGAGAATTCCGCAGTGGTTCGTCCACCTGGGGGTACTCTGACGATCAAGTCAGTAAACTTTATCTCTCACAGATAGCAATTAGTACATAAACTCACAAGAAAGAACTTACCTCAAACTCACAAGGGTGTCATACGTTTATAACCAGTAGTGACCTGATCCCTTAGAAGCCTCACTGCATTGGACTCAGGTTCAATTCTCATCCTGGACTCCCAGCTAAATAGGGATAAACTCTTCATGAAGCTTATACTTATCTAGACTGAGATCCTCCCCTATTCTAGGACCCTTGTCCCTTATCCGGATGCCTCGAGATTCCCGCATTACCGCAGAACATCTCGACAATGTGGTGATCACCTCGACAACATGACTCATCCACATGGCACCTTAGCCTACATTTCGGGCTATCTTGTCCACGTGGCATCATTTGCAAAATACTTCCCCACAACTGCCCCTTAGGTTCTATTACCTCAGCTACCTAAGATGATGGAACCTATATCATTTGTCCACTCAACATATCAGCTAAAAATATACATTTATTACTCCGACCGAGATCATGAGTCGTCGGCTTCAACTAACCAGGACTTAGTTGCCCACTTCATCAAGAATCAAGAACCAAGTTCTTTAAATATCTCAACCGAGATTGCTCCTCTAGCAGAGGTTATTGTCTCATTACTTTAAGAATTTCAAGAGTTTCAACTGCGCATGAGCTGTCACGCAGAGTCATTTCAACTGTTTCCTTTGCATGTCCCATTTTTACTGGCTCATACCTGACACGCACTATCAAATCACGTCATTTCTACCCACGCCGCCTGATAGGCACGTTGTCCAAGGTACGTTCATTACATTTTGCTGCCTTTTTAGTTTTTGACAAAACTTTTCCCCTCTCTTCGTCTTCTCACTTCTGCAAACACAATTTCTCTCTCATCCAGATTTTCTCTCTCTAAACTCCTAAACCTCCATTGCTGTGTTTTCGAGCTCTCTACAACCGTTTCATTCATCTCCTCCAATGAGCTTTTTGTTGTTTGATTCCACTCATCACCTTCGTCTGACTCTGGCGAACCTCATCTCGGCGTCCACTTCTTCGGCTTCATTCTGTAAGTCACTGAATCTCTTACATTTTTGCCTCAATTTATTCTCAATTGTGTTCTTTTTTTGAATTACTATATATCATATATTATGCACTTTAGAGTTTCTTTGTTTTACATATCATTTTCCTAGATATTGTGAACCAATTCCTGTTCTTGAATTAGTTTTTTACTTCAAAGTTTACCCATGTGTTCTTGACCATTATTTGTACTTATTGTGGTTTTTGCACATTTCCTTGCACACATATACTCAATGTCATCGGATTTTGTCATTCTCTATGTACTATTTTTGTATATGTGAATCTATTGAAGCCTGAGTGTGCTACTCTGTGTTACTGACTTCGTTGTTCTTTTCTACCATTTTCTTAGCTCTGAATCATGTCGTTTCTGTTTTCTTGGTTTGTTTTCCAGATTCTTGCCTTTGCACCTTGTTTATCTTCATAGATTTAGGCTTGGGATTTGACTTAGAAATCATACATTTAGGAAAACTGAAACAAATCCTCCCTTAGATCTTCAAAACCCTTACCCTAATGCTCGTCTAGGGTTTTGCCGAGGTCTTCAGAACCATATCAACCTCTTTTTTTTTTTTTAAATCTAGAACCAACTACTTCAAGCCGACATCATGGAAACGTTTAGGTGGAGGGTAGACACCCAAACCAAACTAGAATATTTCCGCCAGGAGTTTTCTATCTTAGCCGATGTTCAACTCAAGTTGGCTGGGAAAGAAGACTCCATTATGCCTGGGAAAAATTACATGGCATTTCCCGTAGTCTCTATTAGTGAGTGTGGAGTTCGGTTCCTTTTATACATCCTCTTCAGGGAAGTCTTGTACTTCTATGAACTCAACCCCATGCAATTAGCTATCAATTCATTCAGGGTTATCGACGGTATTGCCAAGTTGGCACACCGAGAAAATGCTAGGATCACCCTCACCGACATCCAATACTGTCACACCATGTGTAGCCTCAAGTCCTCCAGTGGTTATACTTACTACCTCAAGCCCAGATCCACCGCTTTCCAACTTATAGCCGATCTCCCAAACTCCAACAAAGGCACGGAAGATGACTACCTGATTGTTTTAGGCAATTGGGAATTTGCACTTGATGATGATCTTCATCTTTTTCCTCTACGCCCAGGAGTTTTTGGAGAGGGTGAGAGTAAGAACATAGTACAAATGTAATTAGTTTGTACTTATGCATCTATTTCTTATATCTGTTCTAAAGCTTGGTATTTTTTTCTGTTTCTGTAGTTCTTCCTTAATCGAGCAATTCGTTTCTCAAATCTTACGTACACAGCCGAGATCTCAAGCGGCTTCTGGACCTTCCAATTGAGAAACGTAAAGCCCCACTCCTGCTTAACTACGTACCAACCTACTGTAGTCCTTTGCCCGACACTCCTAGAAGAAGCAAGCCATCAGCAGTCATTCAACCTGGCACCTCTTCCCTAAAGCCTAACCAAGCCTCCTCATCTGACCCACTGGACCAGCCATCCACTTCAGTTCCACTTCAGTTCCACTTCAACTTATCCAGCCATCACAGCGCCAACGCCGTCGTCGAGTTCGCAATGCCCCTGCCAACAAAACACACAGTTGAAGACGCCAAGATTCAGAGGCATCGGCTTATGATCCCACGAATCCTCCGACTGCTCTCTCTGCCATCCACGTCGGCACTAAGGTCATCGTTGTTGCCACATCTGAATAGATGGTTCGAAGTCAAGTAGTGGTTGAAGATTTATTGGCCGACTTTCCAGGAGTTGTTACTGTCCATTCTTCCCCTTCTTAGCCCCAACCCAAGCCAAAACCCAAACAAGTTAAAAAAGCTAAGACCAAGGCCATAGTAACTCAAGTCCCCTCAAACTTAGAGGACATAATCCTGATCTCGAAATTGGTTGAGGCTGAGAAGAGGTAGCCTACCTCTAAGAAGAGGCATGCCGAGGCTGAGCCCTCTAATACATCCCAATTGAAGAAGCTGTGTCCAAGGATACAGCTGGCCCAGGTGTTTTTTGAGTCGATGAGCCCTGGGCCCATGCAATCATGGTTGGGGACTGACCAATGACAGCTAGCGACAGTGCCATCAACAGTATTGAGGTCAGCGTCGCTCTCTCTATCGTTGTTCTCTTGCCAGCGGACATAAACCGCATGGTCGAGATTAACGAGTATGAGAACTTCGCGTTAATGATGCAGCATTCCATCTTGGTAAGTCTCTAACACTTATACTTTTTCATTTGGCTTTCTATCTTAATTTCTTTCACTTAGAAACTTTACTAACTTGTTTGTTTGTTTCTTTCTAGGCCATCCAGCATGTTCACTCTTTTGCAGTGAAGGCTGAGTCCATGAAGAAGGAGTTGGTCAAAAAGACTCAGGATGCTGCAGGCTTCATCTCCTCTCTTAAGAAGGCCGAGGCCAAGATCAAGGGTCTGCTAGATAAGGCCAAAGCTGCTAGAGCTGCGCAAGGTAAGGTCGATGAGAGGGCTCAGGCCGCAAAAGCTATGGCCAAAGTAGTCAAGGATGAGGCCAAAGAAGCTGAGGTCAAAGGCACAAAAGCCAAGGCAGAGCTCAAGGAGGCTTTGGTGACCAAGGAGGCTGAGCTAAAGGTGGTAGATGAAAAGGCATACTCAGAAGGGCAAGCCGACGTCCGTGATGCATACAAAAAGCAAGTGAATCTGGCTTGCAATAGGGGATATTATCTCAGATGGATGGCAACCCTCAAGGAACTTTCCATCCCCGAAGACTCACCCCGTAGGGACACCAACCGACTTAATGTATTGTTTTCCCCCTCTCCTGACCAATCTGAAGACAAGGTCGAGGAAGAAAATGACGACGAAGCTAAGGCTAATGAGGCCGACAAAGAGGCTAATGTTGTCGCTAGGGCCAAGTCCCCCACTCTGAACGATCAAGTCCTAGACTTGATCGAAGAAGATGAGGACGAGGTCTCAAAAAGCGGTCACAGAACAAGACAAGTATCTCTGAGGACGAGGTCCCTATTATTGAGAGAAGTCTGGACACCACAATTCAAGAAATTGATGCTGAGATTGTGGTCGAAAAATCTGCCCAGTTGTCCGTCGAGGTTGAAACAACTCCAACTGCCAAGGCAGGGCAGTCTGAGGAAAGAGCTGAAAATCTTAGTGCTTAGGAATTTTTTCTTGTTGAACTCTCTTTTTTTAGTAATTGTAGTCTTTGCTGTTTTTGTCGGGCCAAAATGCCACTTTTTTGTAAATTTGGACAAGTTTCTTCTATGAAATGAAAATCTTCTTTTTTGTCTAAGTGTTGAATGCTTGCCACGTATGCTCAATGCCTTTGCTTTATGCCTTATTGTTTCATACTTAGAATTTTTCTAATCTTTCCAAGTGTGACCACTTGGCTCCTCACCTCAGATCCCCAGACCTCTGATACATCCATATGTTGGATTTAGAACTGATTGATTATCTCAGACAATCACACTTCTGTCATTTATCTTGGCCAAACAACACTTATAAAATTTTTCCAATAAAACTTTTGCAAGTGTTATTTCTTCACTTGTACTAACTGTCTTGTGATAACCCTGTTCCGTATTATGCTAATTAATCTTAGTTATGAATGTGATTATGTGTTTAATATGATTTTGAGTGCCATTTATATGTATATATGTGGTTTTGAATTTCTATCTGTTCACCGTAGAAAAATCTGTTTGATTTTCTGCTTTAGAATTTAAATTGAAGGCCCTATCGGCCACAGAAACTGAAATTGATCACGCCATTGTGATTAGTGTAATTTTTAGTGCCTACGGTGAAATTTAATTGAAAACTGATTTGGAACGAATAATTAGATTCAGAACGATTAATTAGAGTACCATTATTTGGTTTTAATTAATTTGATTAAGAGAGCTTATAAATAGGCCAATATACACTCATCTTTCTCATTTGTTGGGCTCAAAAATCTAAAAGTCACTCTCTAAAGAGAGAGTGGACCGAATTTAGAGAGAGAGAGGGAGCTCAAGTTAGAGAATTGGCCGAGGAGCTTGGCAATCTTGAAGATTCACCCAAGAATTAGCTATAAATTGGAAGAATTGAGCTTCTAGGTGAGTGAATTCATGAATTTGAGTTGTAATCTTGTGAAATCCAAAAGTAAATGATGATCAAGAACTTGAATTGAATTGATTATAATGATATTGAAGTTGGTATGTACATGCATGAAGAGAATTACCATGAATTTGCATAATCTAACATGTAGCATGTTAATTATGAGAAATTGAGCATTTAATCATACATGCAAGCATGGTTTTGTTGAGTTTCATGATTATAGGCACCATTGGTGTCATTTGAAATGGAATTGGAGTAAAAAATCAGCATGCATGCATAATTGATGAAGTTGTATGAAGTTTGGATGCATTTGCTTTGACCATACCAAGAGAAATGTTGGTTAATTTGAGAATTTGATCATGGTTTTGAATAATTGGTCTCGAATCTCCTATGCTCTCATGTTATGTGATCATTTCCCATGTTTTTGGTACCTAAATTCGAGCTTTGGAACCTTTGAATATTGAATTTGAGCTTCAAGAACAATTCTGGAAATCCTAGAATCTGGCATGTCCACTCGAGCGGGGAAAGCGCCGCTCGAGCGTGAAATGCTAGCTCCCAGAACTTTTGCAAACACTAGTGTATCCACTCGAGCGGAGATATTCATGCTCGAGAGTCAATCACATATTTCGAACTCTCAACTTGAGCGTCTGAAGTCACGCTCGGGCGTAAAAATGATGCAACCAGTATTTTTGCAAACCTAAAGGGTCTGCTCGAGCGTCCAAACCCACGCTCGAGCGGGGAGCCCTGTTTCTGAAATTTTGAAAATATGTTTTCTGTTTCATTTTTCCGTTCTCCTTCATTTCTAAGCACTCTTAGGCATACATTAAGCATTGTGAATAAGTTAAAAGGGATAAGAAAGAAGCCTAAGAGGGATGTATGAATTAAGAACAGATTGAATTGTTTGTGACCCATTATGTTCATGAAATGTGTAGGGTCAAGCATGAAGGAAAATCTATCAGCAGAACACTGTGAGTAATATCTTAGTAAAGATATTTGAAGTATGTTATTTGTCTAATTGCTTATTTCTATATAAGTCTTATAAGTTTGTTAAATTGAATTGTGGACAAATATTTGTTATGCCATATGGTTGGGCCAAAGGCCGTTGGATACAATTGACTGGGCCGAAGGCCGTTTGACATGCATGAATGATTGGGCCGAAGACCGTTTTATATGAATGATTAGGCCGAAGGCCATTTGACTGAAGGCCGTTTGATATGGATGATTGGGCCGAAGGCCGTTTGACATGAATGATTGGGCCAAAAGCAGTCGGACACCGTTTGACATAAATGATTGGGCCAAAGGCCATCAGACATCAATGATTTAGGCTTGAGGCCATTTGTTAAGGAATGAAGTGGGCCAGAGGCCGTTTGATATGTTCGGGCTTGAATCACCTAATGTACTAAATAATGCACTAAATAGAATTCTAAATGGGCCCAAGGCCGTTTGATATATGTGAACCTTATTCGTGCACCTTCTTTATTTGATATAATTCACTGGGCTTTCGCTTACACTCATTCATGTGTATGTAGGTGAGCAAAGAGATGTCCAAAGCCAGCCCCGGTGAAGTGTGAGAGAAGTCAAAGTTTTAAGGAGTCAGCATTAGCGTCTCACGCACGAGACTCGTTTCGCCTTTTTGTTCTTTTGTTATGTTATATTTTTGCTATATTGGCGAAAACGTTGGATCACCTTTGTATAAAAACTTTGGGTTTGAATGACTTAGACATGAATGATCCTGTATGTATAGAACTTTGAGTTATTTTCCTTTTGATGTGAGTTATTAACGAATATATGTGAAATGTTATGATGTGCCATGTAAGCACGGCTCGATGGACAAAAGTTTTAAGTTGCTTCCGTTTTGGCCCCTTAACTTTGTTGGTAAAATGTCTGACTTGGTTTGAGGCCGTAGGTAATCTCCTGATTATTGGCCAGTTATGTCCTTAATGTCACGACCCTAACCCGCCCCTGTGGGTTAAGGACGTAACCGGCCAGTAATCATGAGATTACCCACGGCCTCAAACTGATCCAAACGTATTTTAACAGAGTTAATGGGGGCCAAACGGAAGTAAAAATTTAAAACTTTGTCCTCAGAGCTGTGCTTACATGGCACGTCAAAACAACCATATACATAGGCATTAATAACTCACAACAGTAAAATAGTAGCATGAGTTCTGTATAAATAGGATCATATAAGTCCAAGTCAACCCCTCAAAATATGTACAGAATTACACAAAGTCTTCGCCACCATGACAACATAAAATAGATAACAAAAACGCAAAGACAGGTCTCATGTGTGAGACACGAGGGCTGACTCCCCAAAATCTGGGTTGTTCTACACAGGCTTCACTGAGGCTGGGTCTGGACCTCTCTTGGCTCACCTACAAAGACATGAATGAGCGTGAGCGATAGCCCAGTGAATAATATCAATTACAGAATTTAAGCGACAAGACGTAGAACAACGTTTTCCAAATGGCCTTGGGCCCAATTCATATCTGTAGTTAACATATATAAGGGTAATTTAAATCAAGTAACCATAATTCCGCACTCACTGGCCTTTTGCTCATTCAACTTTACATTTATTACGAAACGGCCTTCGGCCCAGTTGATTATGTCAAAACGGCCTTTGGCCCAATCATTCATTTCAAAACGGCCTTTAGCCCACTAATTCATTTCAAAACGGCCTTTGGCCCACTCATTCATTTCAAAACGGCCTTTGGCCCATTCATTCATTTCAAAACGGCCTTTGGCCCACTCATTCATTTCAAAACGGCCTTTAGCCCACTCATTCATTTCAAAACGGCCTTTGGTCCATTTATGCTTATCGAAACGACCTTGGGTCCATTTATGCTTATCAAAACGACCTTGGGTCTTCAAGAAATTGATGCTGAGATTGTGGTCGAAAAATCTGCCCAGTTGTCCGTCGAGGTTGAAACAACTCCAACTGCCAAGGCAGGGCAGTCTGAGGAAAGAGCTGGAAATCTTAGTGCTTAGGAATTTTTTCTTGTTTTGAACTCTCTTTTTTTAGTAATTGTAGTCTTTGCTGTTTTTGTCGGGCCAAAATGCCACCTTTTTGTAAATTTGGACAAGTTTCTTCTATGAAATGCAAATCTTCTTTTTTGTCTAAGTGTTGAATGCTTGCCATGTATGCTCAATGCCTTTGCTTTATGCCTTATTGTTTCATACTTATAATTTTTCTGATCTTTCCAAGTGTGACAACTTGGCTCCTCACCTCAGATCCCCAGACCTCTGATACATCCATATGTTGGATTTAGAACTGATTGATTATCTCAGACAATCACACTTCTGTCATTTATCTTGGCCAAACAACACTTATAAAATTTTTCCAATAAAACTTTTGCAAGTGTTATTTCTTCACTTGTACTAACTGTCTTGTGATAACCCTGTTTCGTATTATGCTAATTAATCTTAGTTATGAATGTGATTATGTGTTTAATATGATTTTGAGTGCCATTTATATGTATATATGTGGTTTTGAATTTCTATCTGTTCACCGTAGAAAAATCTGTTTGATTTTCTGCTTTAGAATTTAAATTGAAGGCCCTATCGGCCACAGAAACTGAAATTGATCACGCCATTGTGATTAGTGTAATTTTTAGTGCCTACGGTGAAATTTAATTGAAAACTGATTTGGAACGAATAATTAGATTCAGAACGATTAATTAGAGTACCATTATTTGGTTTTAATTAATTTGATTAAGAGAGCTTATAAATAGGCCAATATACACTCATCTTTCTCATTTGTTGGGCTCAAAAATCTAAAAGTCACTCTCTAAAGAGAGAGTGGACCGAATTTAGAGAGAGAGAGGGAGCTCAAGTTAGAGAATTGGCCGAGGAGCTTGGCGATCTTGAAGATTCACCCAAGAATTAGCTATAAATTGGAAGAATTGAGCTTCTAGGTGAGTGAATTCATGAATTTGAGTTGTAATCTTGTGAAATCCAAAAGTAAATGATGATCAAGAACTTGAATTGAATTGATTATAATGATATTGAAGTTGGTATGTACATGCATGAAGAGAATTACCATGAATTTGAATAATCTAACATGTAGCATGTTAATTATGAGAAATTGAGCATTTAATCATACATGCAAGCATGGTTTTGTTGAGTTTCATGATTATAGGCACCATTGGTGTCATTTGAAATGGAATTGGAGTAAAAAATAA